TGCGCTTAACAGCTGATAATTGTCACTCACCCCAGAGACCATGTTCTGTTTTGTATTGTTTGGTCTTTCTCAGCCATCCTGGTATGCCTCTACATACACTTCTTTTAAGGGAATATTGGGCATTTGAGGTTATTTTTATGGCTATATTATAGACCTTCTTGGAGTTTATCCCGTTAGATAAAAACCAATTCTACAGAACAGGTCCTTTTCTCATGTTTCCTTGAGGTACATTAAGATTAACATCCTTTAGTATCCTGGGGCACTCACTGTCTCAGGAGTGAGCAGGGATCATACCCCAGTCTCATACCTCCCCAGTACAGAGTTGGTAATGCTCCCCAATGTCTTAACTTCTCAGTACAGAGTTGGTAGTGCACCCCGATGTCTTATTACCTCAGGACTAGGTGGAAAGTACACTCTACCCTTCTGACTCCTTTCCAGCTAGCCTGGGAGGCACACATTAACCAGGACCAAGTTGGGAGTTAGGCTTTGATTTCCTTGTCAGAACTGCCTTTAGCCTTTTCAGATCCAGTTGGAAGTCATGGTGTTGTTCTTGGAATCATCTTTTGACCATGCACTTTCTCAATGATGGCACCATTTTGTATCTGGAAAGACTGGGTGTTTGCTGAACCAGCAGGTGCTGGCTCCCTTCTGTTGACTGATCTTGCCTTTTACATTTGACCTAAGCAGAAACAGTCCAGGCAGTCCCGTAGAGCTTGATTTGGAAATCTCCAGAGCAGATTTTACCTAACAGTTATTAAGCTCATTTTCCACTCTTCCCACATCTGCAGGCAGCAGTGTGGCCAGACGTCTTACCAGGGGACCATAGCACACACCACCTCTGGTTGTCTACAGATGTTCCTTGTATTCTTGTAGATCCTGGTGGGCAGTGTTCCTAGTGTCCAGAGCACTTTACATTTTCACTGACTCCAAAACTACTACTACTGTTTTATTTTATCACAACAGTGCACTACTCTGTTTCTAAAATTCATGCTGATTTTTCCTGCTTGGAAACAAATTATCTCAATGGTGAGTGGCTCAAAGCAATAAACTCACTGTGTCTGTGAGTGACAAAGTCTAGTGTGACCCACTTGAATGCCTCTGGTGCAGTCTCTAATGAGGTCTTACCTTATCCCAGGTTCATCTGGGTATAGAGAATTCACTCCAGGCTCATCTTGAGGCTGTTGACCAGGCTCACTGCCCAGCCTGCCACAAGCTCTGTTCCTGGTCACCCACCCAAGTACTTCCACAGACCACTAGAATGTCATCATACCTGTGTTATCAGGTGATTTGGGAAGAAGAGCCCAGAACACCAAGATAGAAACCATGGTATCTGTGGCTTGTGCAATGTCCTCTGAGTTACCAAGCCCCTGTAACACACATGCTGGTGAACAGGAGGTAGGATAGGTGTTACTGAGAGATGCAGCCACACCAGCGCACATGCTAGGACATGTGCATGCATTTGTCAGTTTCGTCCATACGTGCACATGTGTCCAGGTACAGATGTGCCCTGTGTTGATGCTGTCTGTTTCAGGTGATTGTGGGAAGTATCTTTGAAGTAGTCTGGGCTGCCATCAAACCAGGAACCTCCTTTGGAATCAGTGTGCTGCGGGCTCTCCGACTACTGAGGATTTTCAAAGTCACAAAGTATGTCATCTTGTGCTCCTGGTCGGGGGAAATGGATGGAGGCCACATGTGAGGCTGGATTATATGGGGATGGATGGCATCTGGAAGCTTATGTGGTAGCTTTACTGGCTTAACACATATGGGGACTATCAGTGCAGGAGCCTTTGGGCCTTAGGTTGTCATTGGGCTGTCCCCACTACTGACAGTACTATGGTCATTTTCCTGGTTCTCTTTATCATTTGTCCCACCTGCAATTTTATACTAACTCCTCTTGAAGCTACCAGCTCTGTTTTCCCTTCAAAGGTGACATTATGATGAATAGAGAAACCAGGATTTTTTAAAAAAGGATACAACTAGAGGTCATCATATTAAGTATACAGAATAAGTCATATTCAGAAAGACACGTATGCTTTTTCTCATTTATGTGTCCTACATACACAACATCAAAATAGAGACAGGACTGTCTGGAGGAAGGAAGGAAAGTAGCTAGAGGGAGTGAGGGGTGAATGTGGCAAAAAATACATGATGCATTTGAAAGAAAATGTCTTTACCAATATATGCCAATAAAAGTAAAAGAAAGCAGAAGTTCTCAGAAAATTTCCCACTGTCCTGTCCCAGGTTTGATCACCCACTGTGCAGAGGATGGGTAGCCTTGGCCCTTACACCATGGTAGCCAATCTAGTGCCTGTGTGGCACCCTTTTCTTGGGCTGGATTTCTCCACCCTCCTGATTCCAGCTTTGGTAATTATAGTAACAAGACTACGTTTTTAGTTCCATTCCACATAAGTCTTAACTCTGGAAGAAAGTTGTTTCATTTGTCCATGAGGAGACTGGAGCTCAGGGAGGTGATGTGAGATGCAGGTGGGAGGAGTGAGAGGGGGAGGACCCTCTCCACAGTGCTCTTGTCAGTAGCAGAGGCCGGCATGGACTGTGCTTGCTCTGTGTTTCAGAGGTCCATGTGTTATGCTGTCCCAGTAGCTGTGGTACCAAAACTGTTGGCACTGAGCCCATGCAGCCTGTGGGCCTATAGTTCCTTCCCAGGTACACTGATGTTCTGCTAGTCCTGTTCTGTTTTAAATCCTAACTCCAAAGCTAGGCCTTTGACTCGAACAGAACTGTTCGAGGACAGAGATGCATGAACAGGACAGGCTTAGGCAGGAATTCTGTCCAGCTAGGTTCACAAATGTGCTGAGCATGTCCTCTGACCTGTCCTCTGTCTTCCTGGAGAACATGTGGGGTGCTGGTAAGAGAGGCTCCAGAAAAATGCCCTTTACCCAAGTCTTGGGCCTTCAGGTCCTCTGAAGGGGGTCAGTGACCCTTCTCCTGAGGCAGGTTGAGTTTTCCAATACTCCTGAATCACTCGTGTTTCTTATAAGAGAGACTGTGGAGGGTGCCTGGACCCCTGATATGGGAGCAGGGGGAAGGAGAGTGCAGCAGAGCCCCCCAGAAGCCCCTAAGAGGGTGAGCATAGGGAGACTGGCATCTTTTCTGCTGTCCCTCATTCCCTGTGTCAGGGTGACAGACTAGCATTGCAAAGGGGCAGGGGCTGGTGTCATCTCTCCCTGCGGGAAGGCTGAAGGCTCCCGGGAGAAACATGCTAGAGGCTAGGATGGCAAGTGGAGCTATCACTGAGCAGCAATGTCATTACAGATATAGATGGGCCCTGAATGCCATGAAGATGGGCTATAATCAGGGAGTCACATTTTCTCTTCAGGGAGTGTGGTGAAAGGGGCCTTAAGAAACACCAGGTCAGCCATACCTTGGCTGGCCGGTGGTGAAGGAGCTAGAGCAGCAGTTCTCAAACTGTGACTCTTTCACAGGGGTCACCTACGATCATCAGAAAACATAGATATTTTCATTACGATTCATAACAGCAGCAAAGCTACAGTTATGAAGTAGCAATGGAAATGATTGTCTGGTTGGGGCTCACCATCGACTCTTTCACAGGGGTCACCTAAGATCATCAGAAAACATAGATATTTTCATTACGATTCCTAACAGCAGCAAAGTTACAGTTATGAAGTAGCAATGGAAATGATTGTCTGGTTGGGGCTCACCATAGCATGAGGGACTGTGTTAAAGGGTTTCAGCATTAGAAGGTTGAGAACCACTGAGCTAGAGGTTGGGGAGTGTCAAGTCTGGGTTTGGACCTGCCCACCTGACAGGCAGTGGTTTAAGGAGGATGGTGCAGTTTGGGAGAGCGGGTGAATCCAGCACGACAGTCACATGTCTGCTCTTGCTATTCCACGGCTGGATCGAGGGTCCAGGACCGTGGGCTTTGATTCCTGGAGAGATGCATGCTTCATGTTGTAGGCTGGGGCTCAGCTGGAATACAGGGAGCCTGGATGAGTGTGAAGCAGCACTGTGGTAGCCCAGCAAGGCTTCAGCCATCCTTCCTGCCTGACAGGTATTGGAACTCCCTGAGGAACCTGGTGGTGTCCCTCCTCAATTCCATGAAGTCCATCATCAGCCTCCTCTTCCTGCTTTTCCTCTTCATTGTGGTCTTCGCTCTGTTGGGGATGCAGCTGTTTGGGGGACAGTAAGTAGCCAGGAGTAGGAGGGCAGGCCAGGGTCCCTGGGGAGGCAGAGCTCAGAACAGACACCGCTGCCCCAGGCCTTTTCCACCTGCCTCCTTCCCGAAGATCCTACCGTAGGGCTGAGAATACCGACAACACCGCAGTGGAGCATGCTGATGTCAGGGACTGGCCCCTGGCTCCTGATGGGACTTGTTCTCTCAAGACTTCTCTTTTTCCTCAGGTTCAACTTTCAAGATGAGACCCCGACCACCAATTTTGATACCTTCCCTGCTGCCATCCTCACTGTCTTTCAGGTGAGGCTTCTTGCTCTCTCTGTGGTTCTCATCTCCCCCAGGAGCTAGGAAAGAGTTAGTGAAGTTAGAGCTCCCACGTTTAAACATAACTTCACAACAAAAGCTAAGTCCTGGGTCTGGGTGTCAAGGGAAGGTGGGTGGCCCATCTGCGGTGGGGGGGGGGCAAGTGAAGCTCCCTTGGGTGTGTGTTCATGAGCTACCACTTCATCACTTTATTAGCTCTAAGGCCTGAAACCACTTGTTTTTGATCCTCAGAACAAAACCAAAGCTCTTCCTGAACTTCTCCTGTAGGGTCTCAGGTACAATGGCCCTCTATTCTCTTTCATTCTGGGATATGTGCCTACCAATGACCCCTGGAAAGCCATGGCTGTGGGACCATTGTTTGTTGGGGGCTCAAGTGATCACCTCTTCTCTTAGACGGTTTCATTTTCGGGTACTCTCGGTTATATACGTTTTTCCTTTGAGAGTTAGCCTTCTAATGCTGCTAGGTCAGGACAGAATGAGCTTCCAACCTGTTGTGAGAACTGTTGGGAGGGAAACTGACAGGCTAGATGGGACTTGGCTCAGATCTTGGCCTCTGAAGAGGCTGAGCTAAGCACAGAGCTGAGGCCACATGTATGGAAGAGCCTTTGCTCCCCCCTCAGAGGGAGGACATGTTTCCGCAGTTATCTAAACCAATCAGTGACTGGCTAAGAGAGTAGTTTCATCCTGGGAATCATATCCCTGCCCTGTTCTTGGATTCCAAGTGCCCTTGTCCTTTTTCCATGGACTCCCTTTCTCTCACAGGTACCCGGGAAGGTACTTTGGCTTGCTAGCAGGTCAGTGGCTTTTAGAATTTGAGCCTCTAGTGTGGGATAGGGCCTGCCAGCCTGGGTCTTTGCAGAGTTCCTTGTGTATACTTGGGGAGTATATGCTCATGATGGGAGGGAGAGCTTCTTTGTATGGTTCATGGGTCTAGAGTGCCTGGGTACCAAGGAAGGAAAGCTAAGAGAACCACATCTCAAGACTTGCAGTGAGCATGTTAAGAGAGCAGTCCTTGATCAAGGCCCAGGGGTTTAGAGGGCCCTGTAAGCAACCAGGTTTTGACAGGTTCTACCCAGTGGGAGCTCTGGTGTGGCTCCAGACCATGGTGGGTGACATGCTTATTGTGACTCTGCTTTTTTGTGTTTGTTGCCAACAAGGAACTAAGCATAGTAGAGGCACAGCTAGGAGAACTGGTTCTTTTTGTCCAAAGGGTTCTGACTGGACCTCTACTCTAGTTTGCTTTCTGTTGCTGTGATAAATACTATCACAATGTGTTTGTTGCCAACAAGGAACTAAGCATAGTAGGGGCACAGCTAGGAGAACTGGTTCTTTTTGTCCAAAGGGTTCTGACTAGACCTCTACTCTAGTTTGCTTTCTGTTGCTGTGATAAATACTATCACAATACAATTGGAGAGGAAAGGGTTTATTTGGTTTACACTTCCGTGTCACAGTCCGTCACTGAGGGAAGTCAGGGTAAGAGCAAAGATAGAAGTTATGGAGGAAAAGTGCCTCTTGGTTTGCTTTCAGTCTCATGGTCAACTACCTTTCTTATAACTCCCAGGACTACCTGCACAGAGGTGACACCACCCATAGTGGGATGGGACCTCCCGCGCCAATCAGCAATAGAGAAAATGCCACTCAGACCAATCTGATGAAGGCATTTCCTTAATGGAGGTTCAGGCTGACAAAAACTAACTAGTGCATCCTCACATACCTTCTGCTCTGAACACAGCAGCAGAACATGTGGGTGCCATTGACTGGAGGTATGCACACTTGGCGGGTGCCATTGATCGGTGGTGTGCACACATGGCTAAGCACTGATTACTGGAGGAGGCCAGCCTGTCCTTAACAGGAAGGGAGAGCCTGTCTCTGGACTAGGATAAAAATGTGGATGGGAGGGTGGAAAGGCGGAAGGAAAAAAACCTTCCAATTTGCCCATGGGAGCCTGCAAATGAAATACTGATACCCTAGAAAGGGACAGCACCCTCAGTTTGGAGGTGAGACTACTTTCAAAGAAAAGGGAATAACAGAGCAAGTGCACCTGGTTCTGGGCCGAGTCTAAGGACAAAGGAAGAACTCTCAAAAATCTCCAAATTGAGGAAAAGCATCTAAGTCAAAGAATAAGAACTAAGTAGGAATCCTAGGCATTAAAGCTGTAGCAATTGAAGTAAAAAAATGTAGGTAGACTGCTCTCTGGACAGCGTCTAAGGGAAGGTGGGCAGTTGAGTTAGAAAGAGTGAGATGCCCAGATGACTGTAGCACAGACATGAGGGGATTCATGCATTGCATGTGCTAGGCTTGGAGATCAGAGGGGCTGGGGGTGCATCTTAGTGACTGAGATTTTGCCTAGCATGCACCGACCCTGAGTTAAATTCCAGAAACTACAAAAGGAAACGAATAAAAAGAGAGGGGAGTGGCCAGTTCTGGGCAGACTCAGAGAACATGTGTTCATAGAGACTGAGTGGAGTGAAGAGTAAGCCTAGATTGAGACATACTATAATGCAGAAGACCTCATTCTAAGAGCTGCCCTAGAATAATAACATTTCATATAAAAAGACAACTCTTCTGATGGCTGTTTCATGAGTGACAGAAACCAGAAGGCCATGGAAAATAACCTTGGAATATTGGGGTGCAGTCTCTCTCAGAGCCTAGAATCCTGAATCTTAGAGCTGTGACTCAGCATGAGGGAGGACCAGAATGTCCTTTAGGGCTGTGCCAGTGGTGGCTGAAAGGTCTTCAGATGCCCATCAAGGAGAAAAAGTACGCTGACTTGAGAAGAAATAGGAGTCCTGGGCCACTCCAGGCCAAAGCCAGCAAGTTAAGACAGCTTTATACAGGAATTCTCCTAAATACTTAGAGGTTATTGCCAGTCTGTGTGGAATACAGAGAATATATAAGTTCCTCACTTGTCTTATGAGGCTAAGTTCTCATTGATATGACACACTAACAGAGGCTAAAATATCCAGAAGAAAAAAACTGAGGAGTCATGCCTAGGCACACTTTAATTGTCTACACAACTAGGTGTGGTTGCTCATATGTATAATTCTAGCATTCAGGAGGGTGAGACACGAGGATTGTGAGTTTGGGGCTAGCCTGGGATGAATAGCAAAGAGCCCCCCCACCAAAAAAGGTGAAACAAAATCATAAAATAATAAGGAGCAAAGTAAAAATCTGAATAAATAACTCACTTTTTTTTTCTTAGAATACGAGACAGCTTAATGTTAGGGAGTCCTTGAATGTGACTCACAATGTTATCTAAGGTATTGGGACACGAGACAAAGCACATCTGACAGGGTGAAGAGACAGACGTATGAAATTCCAGCAGATTATACTAGTATTAGCAGCCTTAGTGCAGTAGAATAAGAGAAAGCAAAATTTATGATTTGTTTAGAATTGAAATTAAGGAAAATACTCATTCAAAATACAACATGTGTGCTGTCATTGCATGCGGCATGGATAAGTTGGCTAGTCATACAGAAGAGCATGGAACTGGGCTGGAGAGATGGCTTATTGGTAAGGGCACGTGCCATGCAAGCCTGGCAACGTAAGTTCAATTCCCAGGACTCACATAAAGTTAGAAGGAAAGAATTAACTGACCAAATCTGCCCTCTGACCTCCACATGTACACTGCAGCATGCCGTGCCCCTCCTCTCCATGTACACTGCAGCATGCAGTGTCCCCTCATCTCCAGGTACACTGCAGCATGCTGTGCCCCTCCTCTCCATGTACACTGCAGCATGCAGTGTCCCCTCCTTCACATGTACACTGCAGCATGCAGTGTCCTTCGTCCCCATGTACACTGCAGCCATGCTGTGCCCCTCCTCTCCATGTACACTGCAGCATGCAGTGTCCCCTCCTTCACATGTACACTGCAGCATGCAGTGTCCTTCGTCCCCATGTACACTGCAGCATGCCGTGCCCCTCCTCTCCATGTACACTGCAGCATGCAGTGCCCCCTCGCCCCCATGTACACTGCAGCATGCAGTGCCCCCTCGCCCCCATGTACACTGCAGCATGCAGTGCCCCCTCGCCCCCATGTACACTGCAGCATGCAGTGCCCCCTCGCCCCCATGTACACTGCAGCATGCAGTGCCCCCTCGCCCCCATGTACACTGCAGCATGCAGTGCCCCCTCGCCCCCATGTACACTGCAGCATGCAGTGCCCCCTCGCCCCCATGTACACTGCAGCATGCAGTGCCCCCTCGCCCCCATGTACACTGCAGCATGCAGTGCCCCCTCGCCCCCATGTACACTGCAGCATGCAGTGCCCCCTCGCCCCCATGTACACTGCAGCATGCAGTGCCCCCTCGCCCCCATGTACACTGCAGCATGCAGTGCCCCCTCGCCCCCATGTACACTGCAGCATGCAGTGCCTCCTCCTCTCCATGTACACTGCAGCATGCAGTGCCCGCTTCCTCTCCTACTCTCTCACACACTCTAATAATGAATTTGAAAATTGAAAAAGCTTAAGCAGGATCTCTGCATTGTACCTGGTATGAAAAATAAGCATACCTAAAATTTTAGAGCACACATGAATGTCATAATTATTAACTGAAGACAGGGAAGGCATTAAAGAAAATATAAACACACAGCAAAAAAGGCAACAATCAACCAATCTAATTATATAAAAATAAGTGTCTGTGCAATGGAATTAAAATACTTTTAAAAGTCCAAAGCCAAAGTGATCTTCCTAGTGTTAGCAAATAGCAAAGAGTTAGTTTCTAGAGTGTATTGAAAACACTTATAAATCAAAAGAAAAGACACGGTAGTAGGAGAGGACTAAGGTATAGACCAGTAACAGGGAAGGAAGGCCTGGTGAATAAGCTAGAAAATAAGCTAGTAAAATTGTAGTCAGTTTTACTGCATCCAGGGAGATGCAAATTAAACCCTCAGTGACCATCCTTCCCACTTCTCATTGTAGTCAGAATTAAGAACTCTTGCATCAGAGTTTGGAGAAGATGTGGCCTTTAGAGCCCCTGTGAGCTGATGGTGGGTGGTGCTGATGGTGGGTGGTTAAAGTCATGTGGACAGTGATTTCCCAGAATCCTGTGAACCCCTTCCTGTGCTAGCCGTGCTCCTGCTCAAGTGTGCAGATGTGTTCAGGTGGCTTAGCAGCACCAGATGTCATGACAGGACCCAAACAGTGGCGTGCTCATCCTGTAGGGACTATATAAGAGGTGTGTGGTGTGGAACTAGGGAAAACCATTCTCCTAGGACTAGATGTGTCAGCATGGACACATCTCACACATGTACTTGTAAGCAGAACAAACAAATTTCAGGGTGATTTCATATTGTCATACAATATTGTATGCTGTGTAGAAGAAGCTTTCATGAGACAAAAAACACCAAAGTCAGGAAATTGTATAACTGGTGGGGAGGAACAAAATTGCCAAGTCCCAATCAAGAGACTTCAACCTCATTTGGATGTTTACTTTTATTTTAAAAACTTAAAAAGTATTTTAAATTGTGTGTATGTGTATAACTCTGTGTGGATATGTGTGAGTGTGAATGCCCATAGAAGCCAGACGAGGGGAGCTGGAGTTGCAGGCAGTTGTGAGCTGCGGATGTGGGCGGTGGGAACTGAACCCAGCCCTCTCCAAGCCATCTCTCCAGCCACTGGTGTTTAATTTCTTATTCTGCTTGGTATATATATGAGTACTGTGAAATTGTTTTTGCTTAAAATGTTACACAATTAGGGGTTAGAAAGATGGGTTGGGAGTGCCAAGGAATCTGATGGATGGTTGCGAACCACCACGTTGGTGTTGTGAATTGAACTTGGGTCTTCTGCAAGAGCAACAAGTGTTCTAAACTGCTGAGCCATCTCTCCAGTATGAAATTACAACCTCAAATGCAATAATCAAAATATAAAAGTAAACAAGTTATATACTTTAATGGGATTAATAATTAAGAAAAAGTTTTTTTTTTAATCCTCATATTTAATGGCAGCTTTTAGCCATTTTTACAAGAAAATAGAAATTACTTAGCTTGGCTTAAGAAGAAAGGAAAAGAGCCGGACATTGCTTTTCTGATTCTGGTCCTGAGCCTGTTAGCTATAAGTTCATTTTATATAGTCTTAAAGGAACACTTGATAGTTAGCAGAAGTAAGACATTTCAGCAGGGGGAAGAGATTTCCATGATGTCAGTGTATTTTGACACCATGGCCATGGTAGCAATGTAAGTCAGGCAGAGCACAGACAGAAAGTCAGCTCTGGAGGTGAAACTCCTGGGGTCTTGCCTGTCTCAGCTGCCAATTTGGTTTTAGCAGCAGACACTCATGATGTGGACAAGGACATCCAAGAGTGACCAAGACTCAGGAGGAAGTCACCTGTTCTAACAAGCCTCAAGCCTTCTTGGGTGGTTGGCTCCAGTTATAGTGGTGGTATGGCATGTGTAACCGTAAAATGCTAAAAGTAGAATATGGTGTTTTGGGACTTGCTTTCCATGGAGAGAAAATCGGTTCTATGAGAAATGTAACAGTGAACTCATTGGGGAAGGCTGGGATATTCAAAACATGCTTCTAGAAAAATGGGCTCCATTAAGAAAAACAGGATAATCATCCCCATAATACAAAGGGTTCAAGATTAGAAAGTTATGTGAAAAGTCAGACTTTATAATGATCACATGAATACCTGACCAGAACAAAGGGAAGCGGGGAGGAAAAATGGGCTCCATTAAGAAAAACAGGATAATCATCCCCATAACACAAAGGGTTCAAGATTAGAAAGTTATGTGAAAAGTCATACTTTATAATGATCACATGAATACCTGACCAGAACAAAGGGAAGCGGGGAAGGGCAGTGAGAGAACTCATGTCTAGGCTCAGACTCTCAGACTGGAACTGTCTGTGCTACTTCTGCTTTTCAAAAAAAAAAATAAATAAATAAAAGTAGAATAGTTTGCTGATGGGACAAAATTGCATTTATTCAGTCTGTGAGGGTGGACCTACATGGCCAAGAAGGTGGCAGGAGAGTCAAAGGCCTAGCTTCTCTCGTGTAGAATGAGCACCTTCCCTGGCCCTTGTTGTCTATAGTGAAATGATATTGTGGCCAGTGTGGCCCCAAATAGCTTCACCGTCCTGTGCCACCATCCTCTGTTTCCTGGACATTTGGAATTCCTGTAATCCAAAGATGTGTGTGTGGGCACAGTGTCCTTTGATGTATGTGTGCCCTGATTCAAGTCCGTGTTTGTGTGCATACATATACATGTGTACATGTGTGCTGTGTACTGTGTACATGTGGGTATGATACTAATGTGTTCTGTTTTTCCTCCTACAGATCCTGACAGGGGAGGACTGGAATGCAGTAATGTATCATGGGATTGAGTCACAAGGTGGAGTCAGCAAAGGCATGTTTTCTTCCTTTTACTTCATCGTCTTGACATTGTTTGGAAACTGTATCCTCCTTGGGGCTAAGTACAAGTGGTTCGTATTCAGCGCTCTTCCTGTGGCCACTTTGTGGCCTCCTCCAGAAGGGCTGGGGTATTTAAGCAGTTCCTTTTCAGAATATGACTGATGCATATCCCTGGGATGCCAGAGCACTGAGTATGGAGGACTGTGTGGGGAAAGGGGTTGAGGTGGGCTGTGTAGTTGCCAGGGGCTCAGGAAACACTCTGAATAACCTTGGAGTCCTTGTAAAAAGGTGTGGATATGGAATGGGCAGGGAAGAAGACTTTTCTTCCTCATTAAGTTTAACAGAGTAAGTTTTGGCACTTTGAGTAAACCTCCCCTCCTAGAAATAGGCAGCTGCAGAGCTTGACTCTCACCTTTGCTTTGCTTCAGGCCAGAGATAGGCCTTCCAGGCAGGGGAGAGTGGGGATATCTACTCTTTGAATCAAGGCAGACCCAGAAGCAGCAGCCCAGGGACAGTGTCCATGGGGAAAGAATTGAGGCCCAGAAGAATCCTCATGGCTCATCATGCCTGTCAGGGTGGGGCTGGAAGAAATCAGTGTGGATGTGGTTTGAATGCACTGGAGACAGAAAATGGAGCCTCCGCAGGGAGCGTTAGTATTCTCTGTGAAGTGCAGCTGGGTATCAGACCTCTGAGATTGTAAAGCTGGCATCCCAGCCTTTGCTAATAGGCCTGGTTTGAGATCTAAGAATGTGTATTGTAACAGATTCACAAGCAGGGCCTGATATGTTGGTCTAGGAGCCCCATTTAGAGAATGTGGTAGACGGTGGTGGAGCCCACAAACAAGTTGAAGCTAGCCCAGGATTGGTGTTCCCTCCTCTTTGATGAGGCTGAGTAAGTGCAGTGGGAAGGAAGCTAAGTGTAGCCCTGGTTTCAGAGAGGGAAGGGGGACATAGTGTTAGCCTCATACTGGGACAAAGCTGTGACTTCCCACAGCGGTTGTATTAGTCAGGGTTTTCTATGATAACAGAATTTATAGAATGAATCTTTTCCTATATATATTGAAAGGGGATTTATTAGAATGACTTACAGTCTGTGGTTTAGCTAATCCAACAATGGCTGCCTATGAGCAGAAAGTTCAAGAATCCAGCTGGTCTTCAGTAGATGCCAGAATCCCGAAGAAGTAGGTTCCAGCGCCAGTGAAGGGATGGGTGTGCTAGCAAGGGGAGAGCAAGCAGCAAAAGCTTCCTTCCATCTCCTCATATAGGCTTCCAGAAGAAGGTGTGGCCCAGATTAGAGGTGGGTTTTCCCAGGTCAAATGACCTGGACTTAAAGGTGTGTTTTCCTCAAAGATCCGGATTAGAAGTGGATCGTCCTCCTTCAAATTAAGCAAAAATCCCTCACAGGTGTGCCCTATATTTGGGTTTTAGTAAATTCCAGATGTAGTCAAGTTGAGACCAAGAACAGTCATCACTGTGGGTAAACACTGACACTTAGACTAGACATATCAGCCATCAGGTGTTTCCCTTCCTGTTGAAGTAGGGCGGTTTCTGATGCGCTTGTCTTTCCCTTTGCACAGGAATGGAGCCTTAGCTCTGCTTTGGGCATGGAAGACCCTCTAGATGTGTGTGGTAGGGTTAGTCCATAGAGTATGTAGTGCTTAGAGGTGTCCTGCATGGTGTCAGCCTGATCATGCTGTCCCATCCCTTGGGTACTGCTGAAGCCCTGAGCAGACTTGCCTGTGTCAATGCTGTGGGCCATAGGCATTAGTCAGAAGGCCTGACTTGGGTTGGTTATGGCTACCCCGTTTGCCTGGCTAGAGGCCAGGGCAATAGGGAGAATGGCACTGCCTGGTAAGGGTGAGTCCCCAGACATAGGGCGAAAGGGACCTAAGTCCAGTGAGCACTGGGCCCTGTGGGCAGCCTTCCCCCAGGGAACATTAAATAGGGTCTGCAACATTTGGTATGTCAGGATTAAGGACGTCAGGATTAGTGCCAGGAATTACACTGCCCAGTGTGTCAGCAGTACCAAGGTCATCCCCAACTTTTGAGAACTCAGAAGGGTAAACCTACATGGGAGGACATGCTGTAATTACTAGGACCTTCCCTTGTGAGAAGAGGCTTGTGGGAATGGCAGTGACAAAATAACCAGGTCCTGGTGAGATTCAGAGAAGATACAATAGCAATGCTGTAATTACTAGGACCTTCCCTTGTGAGAAGAGGCTTGTGGGAATGGCAGTGACAAAATAACCAGGTCCTGGTGAGATTCAGAGAAGATGCTTATGTTATTCTGGGACCTGGTTTGGGTATCTCACCCTGTCTTAGTCTTCTGTTGTTGTGAAGAGACACCATGACCACAGCAACTCCTACAATTTCAGAGGTTTAGTCCATTGTCATCATGGCCTGGAGCATGGCAGCATGAAGGCAGACAGGGTGCTGGCGAAGTAGCTGAGAGTGCTACATACAGTCGGAATGCAGTAGGAAGAGAGAGACTCTGGGCCTGGCTTACTTCTGAGACCTCAGAGCCCACTGCCAGGGACACATTTCCTCTAATAAGACCTTGCCTCCTAGTTCTTTCAAAAATGCCCCTGTCTGGTGACCAAGTATTCAAATCTATGAACCTATGGGGACCATTCTCATTCAAACCACCACACAGGCTGTATAGCTGTGGCTTCCTTGTTGCCAAAGGGTTGTGGCAGCAATTCACCATTGGGCTTCGGGGTGGGGTGCAGTGTTGGGTGCACAGACTACTGTATGTAATCACCCTCCTGTTTCCAGTATTACTCAGGGGAGCCCAGGAATTCACAATGAAACAGAAAGCATAAAAAAAGGGGGGGAGACTTGCAAAATAGGGAGGTTTCCTGAGCCTAGGTTAGGATCGTTAATCAGGGGAGCCCAGGAATTCACAATGAAACAGAAAGCATAAAAGAGGGGGGGGAGACTTGCAAAATAGGGAGGTTTCCTGAGCCTAGGTTAGGATCTGGGGCCTGGAAGGTGCTGGTCATGAGTGGATTTGTGTGTTAGATTGGATAGGTTATATCCACAGCCCTAGAAGGTGGTGGAACCATCTCTGGAGCTTGTGAAAGCAGTTGTGTTTGTTTCAAGGCTTCTCATGCAGACTAGAAAAGAGAAGAGCTGGGGTTAGTGGAAGGCAGGCTGTGTATCCTCTGAAGGAGCCAAAGGCAAATTAATCGATTAAGCACGAACCTTTAATCTTTGGTTCTACACCATCATCCCCAAAGATGTAGGTGAGTAAAGAGCTCACTCTCACCCCCTCCTATTTCTGTGAGTGTGTGAGTGTGTGTGTGTGTGTGTTAGAGAAGGTTGAGCTATGTGAAACTGTAGAGGTGCAATTCAGCTTGTGAGTCCAGAGGCTGTGGGGGAAGGGGCCTTGTGCATCTGTACAACAGGGCCTGATGGGCTGATGGTGTCAGGGGACAGAGACTGGGGACTTGGTAGATGGGTGGTTTTGTCTTTCATGGGCCACCATGGTGGGATGGTATGAGACAGTGTGTGGGGCAGAGGGCTCTCTTCCTTAGCTGGACCAACCAGACACCCTGCTGAATGTTTTCCTTGCCATTGCTGTGGACAACCTTGCCAATGCCCAGGAATTGACCAAGGTATGTAGAAACACTGCCTGTAGCCTAGAAGGTGCTAGAAGGTATGGGCCTCTTTACACGTTACTGGATGAAGTTATGGAGTTATCAGGAAGGCCAGCTCCTGTGTCAGGGTCCATGTGACTTCTCTTCAGGGGTGTTTCCTTAAAGTCATGGACAAAGAGACATTAATGTGGGCTGTGGGTATAGAGGATTACCACAGAAGCAAGGAGGGACATGGCCATGAAGGTAGGTGCATGTGTGTACAGGCTCCCAGAGAATCTATGGTTTTGGAAGAGAGAGTGAGCAGCAGGGTAGGGTGTAGGAGCACAGGAGGCACAGACTGGCCAGGACTACCCGTGTCACAGAAGTACAGCGTCCTGAGATAGGCTGACCTGAGCAGGTGTATGACGAGGGGGAAGAGTGTTCTCAGACAAGAAGGTGTGTGAGTGGGCCCTAGGAAATACTCAGCTCTGAAGATCTGAAGGGCAGTGAGAGGACACCTGTAGTGCTGCCCTCAGATGTTCAGTGTGGCTGGAATCTGGAGGAGCAGTGGCGGTTCTGTCTCTGCACATCTGTGTCACAGCAGGACAGCTCCTTCTCCAGGCATTACCCAGCGGGGACCATTCAATATTCATTTCTTATGCACAAGCCCAGTGGGGGACATGATTACACATCTCTCTCTTTCTGTTTCCCTCCAGAAGACACAACCCCCTATTTGGTAGCCCTTGGTCTCTTGTCCTGCTACCTGCTAGGTAGCTAGGCTGCCTGCTGTCAGCCTTAGGCTTGTGTTTTGATTCAAGTTCTGGCTCCAGTAGGGAGGCTGCTACCAGGTGCATTGTCCTATGTATGGTCATGTTCCATATCTCTGTAAGGGGTGCTGTGTGTTCTCTGATGCACAGGTTGGCCCCTGTGCACATCTCCTAAGTCTGACCTTCTCAGTTCCGCGTTTCCCTCACTCTCTGGGTCTGAGGAAGGGAGGTTTAGATGCTTTGAAGAAGGCATAGCTTGTACAGTGTAGTGGTCATGAGCCTCCTTTGGCTTTCACTTAGCCTTCCTCTTCCTGCATGCAGCCCTAGGCTGTGCCTGAGGTCCGGGATATTCTTTGCTAACTTCTAGCTTTGGAGGACTTAGGAATTCTATGCTTGTTGTTGTCATCAGTCTGGCCAGTGCTGACAATTGCCATCCTGGTGTGGTCAGATCCCTGGCTGGGATGCACGGGCTGGGGGAACTCATGTATTTCCAGAGCTGTCCTTGGTGTTAGTGTTTCTGGAATCATGTGAATTTGGGATACTAGCAACAGTAGTTTCTGTGCAGGAGAACACTTGAGTCCTGATGTCTCTCTCTCTTCAAGTTCTCCTGTGGGTGAGGGTAAGCTGAGGAGGCA